ATTGATTAGCTATACTTTATTTTTGTTTTCATCAATAAGCAATGTTAATACCTAAATTAGTTTCATTGCACCATGGAAAATAATATAGCGAGTAATCATGAACTATATCTTTGTGTTACATGTGTTTGTATTGTTTGTAATCGTGTTTGTATGTATATTGTAGTTTGTTGGTCGTGACCAGTATGGTACTGTGTTATTGTGTGTGTTACATATCAGTTGTGTTTAATTGGATTAAAGTCTTGTTTTTAAAGTATCAGTTCATTCGGTGTATTTCACATAGCAATTATGATAAGCAACATTTTTATTGTGAGAAATAGCTGTCATGCTAGGTTACACTGTCATTTCCTAGTCATCTTGTAAAATATTAATAACCAAATGTGCTAATGTTACACGAAACAGCAGTTCCATGGGTGGACCCAAATGGACCGCCTATGAGTTTTTGTTTCATACTAACTCTTTTTTCAATATTGTTGTGTTTATTTTTATTTAGTGCATGAACCCGATCGAATACGCCATAGATGTAGAAATTCTTTAAGAACTTGTGCCAACATGATGACAAACCTAGCCAAGTGTTAATTGTTATATGGTGTTTTCTATTTACTAGGTCACAATGACCGACTAGACCTGGGTGCAGCAACAACAAAGAAAGACAATTTTAACTATATCTTTTTTTTCCTTGTGATATTTGCTGTAATAACATGTTTATATGAGTTCTGCGAGTCTGATTTGAGATTCCTTTATTTATTTCTGGTTCGACAAACTTTTATGAGGAAAGTTACGATTTCTGGTAAAAAGAAACAGCTGGTTTAATGACCATCCCACTGATTGGTGACAATACTACTTGAGTAAGGGCTTTTCTGTTAAAATAAAACAACGAACTTATCCTTTTGATAAAGATATAATTAACATTTGTATCATGTTGCAATGGTGATAGTCAAAAATGACAGGGGAAAATATTTATAACTAATAAATTTGAAACATCAGAAAAGTAAGGAATTTTTAAAGTTCAAAATTTTATTAAAGTTTTTTTTTTAACAAAGCTTACATCAACTCAATCTGTCTGTCTTGTTGGAGCCTTGTACACGTTAGTTCTGCCACTTCCCACTCTCGGGTCACGTTGAAACTTTGAACAGTTATTCAGTGTCTATGACAATATATAAATCAATGAAAACAAATTATTTAATCAATTTCTCGTATATAATTAATAATGACAGATCTAAGAGAGATAAGCCTTGTAAAAAGATTTAGATTGTTCGCTAAAATAGTAATTGACCTTTTTAAACTATAAAACATTCAAAAAATTTAAGTACTTGACTAACTCACTGGCTAACGTGTAGACTTCTCAGTGAATTAGTGTTTACAGAATTGCAGAGGCCAAGGAAATGATGGAGGAAACTTCTTTCCTTTTTTTTAACTGTTTCTTTTGTTATTTGTGTATTACCAAACTACCTGGGCTTTTGTTAGTTGGTTTTAGTTATGTTATTGTGTGATCTTTATTAATTTACCTAACTACATACTCATAAGCAACTTAGAGAAAGTAAACTTCTTATTATTTTGTTCAATACATTGACTTTATGACACTTTTATTTAGTAATTTTATATTTGTGAAATGTACTAAGTCATCATATTATCTAGATCCAAGTGTAGAGACCAGGAATAGGTCCAGAACTCAGGAAGAGAATGGTCGAGGTCTGGTAAATGCCAGCTTTGACATTATTGTCATTCATGTTAGTTACAAAGCTTAGAAGGTTTAGCACGTGACAATAACCCACAACTTGCCATGTAAAATCTATATATCAGTGTTGCCCAACTACGCAATCGGGTCATATCCAACCCGTCACGAGGTGCTATCAGACCCTTTGAAAATTCTACTTATTGTGCCTTTTAAAGCCTCAGAAGCTTGGTTCCATTGTAAAGGATAGTTTTTTAAGGCATAAGTTTGTAGCATGAGTACTGTGAAAATGTATGGCACTCAACTTGAAAATGGTTAGCCAAACTGCTATAGATAATTAGATGCATCAAGGGTTGTATTGAAATGAGAAGACAACAGAGACCCAAACAAACAAGATATACAGAGCACCCATACAACCCTGATGCATTCTCAGTTGCGATGGGCAGGACACGTCTGCAGAATGGAAGACCACCGCATCCCTAAACGACTCTTGTATGGCCAACTAAGCGAAGGGAAGCTCTCGCAAGGTGGTCAAAGAAAGCGCTTCAGGGACACCCTCAAAGCTTCTCTGAAGGCGTTCAGCATAGACCCAGCAACCTGGAAGACAGAGGCGCATAACAGAGCATCATGGCGTCGCGCTGTGTAAACTGGTGCACAGGTTTCTGAGGAAAAGAGAACCACGCTGGCAGACGAAAAGCAAGGCCCACGACACTAGCTTCAGCTGGAATAACCTGCCCAGTGTGCAGTTGAACATTCCGTGTTCACATAGGTCTCACCAGCCACATGAGGAAGCATAAAACCCCAGTGCAAAGCCCTCAGCCCCCAGAATGAAAATGTGGTCATCATCGAACCACGATGGACGAACTATCTATGTATATTATATATTCTGTGGATTACCATTGTGGCGTGTGGGAGGCGAGAGTATATTGTGTATATTTTTTCTATAGTATTACATCGGATTCTAACTATGTTAAAACATTCTTGATCAAAAAGACAGACTTCGGAGGTGGTCCGGTCCATCCTGCGGGCACATTGCTTGTTAAATTGGCAGGTCAAGGGCCGTAAAAGCCTCAGAGGCTAACCTCATGACCATCTTAGGCTTGTCTCCGGAAGAAGTGGGTTCTCTCTCTCTCTCTAGGTTCGAGAACACTTTTGGTTCCTAGTCTCAACCAGCGCAAGGGTGAGAATCCGTATCCTTGGAAAGTCTTTCGGGACATAAGAGGTCCTCAAACTCGAAAGGTCCTCAAACTCGAAAGGTTCTCAAACTCGAAGTTTCTACTATAGAAGACGGGAAAAAAACAACAAAAGAACTTTAAATTGGATAGCACCCATTATCTTAAAGAACAAATTACAGAAATATTTAAGTTTCGTTAAATAGTGATACTCAAAAGTAAAACCACTGATTCAATCAGCGATCAAGAAATCTCTTAAACTGTCGTACGAATTTGCATAAAATTTCGTATGCAAGGTTCCTTTTTCCTCCAAGACGCTTGCTAAGAATCGGTTTTGACAGATTCGCAATCTGACAACTGCTATTCGTGAAAAAAAAACGCAATTTTCTTTCAAAGCTTTGTATTTTATTTCCGGCATTTCCCCAAAAGGCTGCAGTCTACATATAAAGCATTATGAAAATATCACTAATTCCGTAATTTTAAAGCATTTTGTTTTTTTTTCCCTAAGTCTTCTTTTTTTAAATACGCAATACAACATTTTCCATTCTTTTTAGAGTCGGACTAAGTAAAAAGCAAACCAATCCTAATAGCATAAAAAAATCTAAATCAATTGTCGTTTAGCTACATTCAAAAAGAGGCCATACGAACGATTACAATTAATAAAACCAAATAGATTTTTTGTATTTAATTACAGAGAACAAATACCAAGAGATACGTTAAAATGGGAACAGAATTTGGTACGAAGGACCAACTTTTTGTTGTTGTCGGTGGGGGGGGGGCGTATAAGTAAAAGTGCTACTAGAATTAACAGGCCCAAACTATGAGTGCGTGTATAAACTAAACTAAAAATAACTAAAAATAAAATAAAAAACTGAAATTATAAAAGGAACTTATATACACTTTATTTACAACTAACTTACAAAGCAATAAAAATATAGGTGAATACGACAATGAAAATAAACTTAGAAATAAACAAAAACTATATATACACACTACTAAATAATTAATCAACCCTACTTAACTAAACTTAACCACTCCACTAACCAAAACCCTCTGCCGCCTCTGTATCTGTGTTGCTAAATCTACAACTATTACTAACTAAACCGACCATCAAATAACCTAAATTACCCCGACACTAAACAGTAAGCTACTAGCAGCAGTAAAGCAGAACTACAGCCGAAATAATGGCAGTTAGGCAGCCGAAATAATGGCAGTTAGGCAGTAATAACTGCGGTAGACAGTTAGGCCGTAAGGCAGGAATTATAGCCCGCAATTTAAAAAAAAAACAAACATAAGACAATATTCAAAAAATAAAATAATAATGGACTATAACACATATATTAGAATGGACTGGTCTAGACCTAGTTAGTGCATACACATAATACAATCATCAATTTCAATTGCCTACATGTAGCTAATAAAAGCAATACCTGAGTTATTAAAGTCCCAGCCATAACCAACACAGGTCAGGTTAGACTACAATAAACATAAGCTAGATCTAGATAATAGTAGATAAGACTAAACAAGCCGCCATGACAGCGATGCTTAGGCCGCAGCCATCTTTTACATTAAAAAGTAAGACAAAATGCCAACTTAAATAGAGTGGTTATCCTAACGATAAAATATTCATAAAAATACATAGGAAACATAAAATAATAAAATATTTACACAAACACATAGTATAGGAAAGCAAAAAGCATTAAGGCTGGCGCAATTGGGTGACGCTACCCAAGTCTATAGAACTTCCGGTTCCATCAGAGGTAATCATGGCTAATTAACTAGCCAGTGATGCTACTACACTAATCAGTCTGCATCTAAACTATAGCAATAGATGCAGAAACAATTAATACAAATACGAACGAAAGAAAGTAAAAATAAAAACATTTTCCAACTTACAGGCGGTCCCAGCTGAAATTACACTACCCAAAATAACTTTATACAGGCACCACTATCAGCACTGACCACTGGTCAAGACGAAAGAGAGCTCAACGTGGTTCCGGAGCTAGTTATAACTGGGTCAGCGCGAACATATCGGAGAGCATGACGTCACGCTAATTATCTATAACTAAACTGGACTATCGATTTCCCTAATTTGTACCTAGCCGTACACAACAATAAAATCTAGCAAATGACTAAAGACACGGACTACACAACATTATATACCAAATTCAACAGCATTAAAAAGAGAATCTTAAAATTTAAATCCTACAAAAATACAAAAAGGAAGATAAAAAGTTATTTCTAATCTAAACTCCTTTGGGGGCTCTATACCGATTACAGACCTGCACATAAACTGATATTAAAAAATAACAACCAATCCAACGCTAATGCCAAAGACAAAAATAAGCAGAACTAAACAGGGACAAAAAATAGAAATTAACATCCACAGCTCTAAGGCTAGTTAACTATTTTAAAAACTACTTTTCCTCTACGAGTAAAACACAAATAACAGAAAAAGACTAAAACTAGCAGAAAGTTATAAATAGCAGAAACTACAAAATACTCAACACTGAACTATAAAAATTAAAAAGGACACTAAATTACAAACATCATAGCCCTGGCCTATGAAAAAATATAAATTAAATAAAATTAGGTCAAATATTAGATCTAGGAGCGCCAGCTCACAAAAGCATTTATGTATATGTAAACATATTTGTTTTGAACATTCTTTTTTCTTGAATTTAAATGCGATGAGAGGGTGTTTTTTTAAGGGGGGGGGGGGGAGGGGAAGGTAGGGCATTGACTTAACAAACATTCTTTTTTAAAGGATGTTTATTAAACAAAACAAGATAAACATAAAAATACTTAAAAAAAAACAAAAACAAAGCTTATTCGAAGTGTAATTGTATCAATTAGTTTGGATCAGTCGTGTAATTAATTTTGTAATAGATCTAGAACAACAATTATAATTGTGTGTAATTAATAACATTTTTACTAATTGTTTTTGTTTAGCGCTATGTCATGCTTTTAGCTTTCTCAATACGCTATGATCCTATTACTTGTCTGGACCAGTAGGGAAATTGAGGTGGGGGGGGGGGGGGGGGAGAGAGAAAGACAGTGATAACTGGGTGGATTGTAACGTAATTTATTTTTAAAAGCATTTACAACAAAAAAAAAAAAAAAAAAAAAAGGAAATGACCTGAATTCCAACTCGTGGTTCACGCCTCCTCTGCCAGAATGCTAGCCACTCTGCTGGTGATGTACTTAGGAGAAGATTGTATAGTTATATATTGTTTGTTTCAATTTAGAGCGGTGACTTAAAAAGGGATTAATTCAGCTTATACCACCAATGCAGTCAAGTACAATTTATTCCCCTAGTTTGAGATACCAAACAAAATAATTAATTACCAATAACTAATTGATTTTTTTTTTGTGATTGTTGTGTTGTCATGTCACAGAAATAATTGTGCAAAATTTCAGCTTGATCCGAGATTGGGAGTTGAAGAAATAACGTGTACAAACTTTTTACCAGACAGACAGACAGACAGAATTTTTAAAAGCTTTTTAAATACTCCCCCCACTCCCCTTCCCTCGAAAAGAAAAACCAAAATAACGAATGCAGCTCGTGTTATAGGAACAAGGTGGCGCGTCTACGAGGCGCTAGCGCATTAAAAATTGTATTACACCTAAATCGCACTCACTGATTATGTGAAGGTCTCTCTACATGAGGTAAACCTGCTCCACAAAGTTGAGTTGAAATTAGTTGGAAGTGGTGGGTGGTAGTGGTGTGAAACGGAATGTCGGACTAACTTTAAAATAAAAATAATGTACACAGAATTACCGATGTTTAAGTATTTAAAACTATTCTATGTTTCTTCATTACTTCCCAAATCCGCTAAAAATCAAACAATCTGCTGAAAAACTCGTTATAGTTTTGTTGTATTTATGAATTTTACAATATTATTTGGTGTACTAATAAATGTTGTGCTCACCTAATTTGGAATTCAAAGGAACACTACTATTTGTCACAATAAGTATTAGATCAATATGAACCGCATTATGTAGTTTATTACTGGCCGCTAAGAGCTGTCTTTAATAGAGATAGAAATGGGCTAATAATAAGACATGCTAACCAAAAGAATAGAGAAAAAGAAGGTCGGAAGAACAGCTTTCCTTGGTCTCAACTGTCGAGTGGTTCTGTAAGATAATATAAGAGAGTTTGAACATAAAATATAAGAGGTCCTGGTCGTCAACGACAAGGAAGAAGTCTGTATATCAGACGCATCCCTGACTTCTCCTGAGGCTTCCCCTCTTCTTCTGTGGCTCTTCGTCCACCAGGCTTCGGTGATTCCCACGTGGGTGATGGGGGCGTTGGCGCAGTGGCAGCCCACGACGATGGACAGATCTAGTTTATTAAAGATGGCCACACCCATCACGACATCCGCTAATGCTGAATACGGTCATTTTCTGACGGATTTCTTCACAATTCATGGAGTCCGCGGCGATACACGTCTCACAGATGCACACAGCCTGCTGAATTTTTCTGAAAGGGACAGAGAATAACAAAGGGACGTTAGTCACTATATTGTTTCCAATAAATGTTTCTGACAGATGTATATAACGAACGACAACTACATCTCTAGTGTGTCAATATTTTAATAATTTTCTTTGGAATCAAGCAAATCAATATTACCTTTCGTACAAATAAAAAAAAAATGTATTTCTTTCATGTCTTTATAGAAATCAAAATCATGAATAAAAAATGTAACAGACTGTTATTAGTTACTTTTTATAATAACATAGCCTTCACAAAGTAGGAACTAAAATCATTGTAGAGATTGAAATGTGACATTTGATATAATACGAGTTTGTAGTATGGTACCCTATTGGACATGCATATACAGTAATATACACATTACCATTATGATAGGAAACGAGAAGTTAAGCTCTAAAATGATCTGGCTAACCAGAACTACAATACAAGAGTGAAGGCATTGTTTAAACCACTAGCTTAGCAACCGTTAAGTTGAGAATCGATGCTTACCTTGGATACATGGTATCTCCTAGATCTATCTCTTCGTACACCCACGGGCATGTTGACCTGAGGTTCATCTCACTCCTTGGCCACCAAGACCCGTAGCCGGATGGACAGTCGTCAATGCTGGGCAGGTTATCTGGCAATGGAGGATAGCTCTCTGAACGGCTGGCCAGTCCAACGAATTGGGTCAAGCTGAGGAACGGCCTGAATTCTCCGAGCATCATGGGTACGTTGGGAAGTAAGTGGCAGTTAACAGCATCATTCCTTTTTCTGTGAGTCGGGTCTCTCCTCTTCTTCTTCCTCGAGATCGACTTTGACGACTTCACTTTTTGAATCTCTGGAGCAGGGTTGAGATCTAACTTCGCGTCGAGGACGTTGCGGCCACTGCGCTTGGATGATGAGGCGAAGGCTAACCTCACCAAGCGTAGAGCTGTTTCCGCTTCTACTTCAGATTCAGTGTTATATCCACCTCCGATAACTTGTGTACCAGTCTTGAGTTGAAAGAAGATCACACCAAAAAAAAAATAGCATTACAATCTGCATGATCGAAATAGACATTTTTTACATTATTGTACAATAATTTATTGTACTATAAATTAACGGTTATACGATTTAAGCTTTTAAATTGTTTAAATCTATAACACACTTGGTTTCTACTATAGAGTAGTTGACTGTTTAGCTGAAATAAATAAATAATAAAACCATCAGTTGTATATATACTTAAACAGCATTCAATACACCCCTTCGCACTGTCAAGCTCTTTTTATTAGAGGATATTTTTTTATAATGCTGATATCAGCTCACTCTTTCTGTCTGTCTGGTAAAAAGTTTGTATACGTTAATTATCCCAAACCAAAGTTCTCCCAAACCAAGCTGAAATATTACATTGTTATTTCTTTTACATGCTAAACAAGAATTAATCATAAAAAAAATACAATTAGTTGATCACCTAAGTGGACTAGTGACTTTTCAATCAAACTACATGTTAGACTATTTCGTGTACTTGTTTCTATAAACGAATCACGTCTGTTAATTATTGTTTCTCGCCAAGTACAAGTATTTCTTATAGTTCGTTACTACTTCGAAAGAGTAATTGCTTGATTAATTCGAAATAAAGAGTCATTCTTGATTACTTCGACATAAAGAGTCATTGCTTAATAAAGAGATCATAACAAGAGGGGTCGTTCACTTTTCAAGTAAGATTATTTTGTCTACTAGTTGACTATTAGTCTAGTGGTGAACATAAAAAATATAGGGGAAAAGACGCTAATAGTTTTGTGTGAAATGTCTGTCCGTCCGTCCGTCCCGTTTAGATCTCGTAAACTAGAAAAGATAGTGAAAATCTGACACCATAATATTTTAAACCATTCAAAGTTCCAATGCAACGGCTACTTTTTTTCTTTTTCTGAAAGCGAAAAAACTAACTTTTTAAATCACTTAGGAAAGCAATTTGTTTTATAAAAATACACCGCTTTTACAACTGTTCACTATTAATAGTAACAAACACTGGAGGCTCTTTAGAAGGGAGATGACCATTTACCCTATTTTAAACATATTTATGCAAATGGTTTTAGATTTTTTGACCAAAAAATTCTTTGTATTACATTTGTATTGCCAAGTTATCTAAGTTCTATATTACTAACTACTACATTTACACACAAATAGTGTTTACTATTTTTTTTAAGAGAAAAAATCTATTTAGTATGCATATAAGTTGGATATAATTTAAAAGAACAATTAATAAGTAGTTTTTCATATTATTGCGTCAACTGCAGAGTTCATAATTAACCGTAATACACTTAACTAAAGGACATTTTTTGTTTTTGTTTCTACGGAAATGTATTATTCGTGAGGATTTGAATAGGAGATTGACCCTTTACCAAAATTAGATCAATTAGATATTCATTATAAGACATCAGTTAGGTCAGGTTGTCATCAAGCCAAGCAATCACATTCACCTATTCTTTGGTCTGCTGGACGCTGGGGCACCAAACAAGATCTGTCAACTTTCTTTCTCCATTCTTCTCTATCTTTGATAGAATTTAATTATGATGTTCTTTGTGAAAATATTAAAACCTGCCTGGGTGGACCTCTTCGGGTGCCGATTATAAGTTGTTGTTTCCACACAAACTGTCTTTGTAACCTTGTTGTAGTATGTGTTTAATATTTTTTAAATTCCAACTTGAGGAATAAAAGTGGTTTTTTTTTTCTCCCGTTTAAAGTATTTCTATTCAGTTTATTCACTTCAATC